CAGATGTTTAACTGACACCTGGGGGAAAAATTTGATCCCTGCTCATATCTTACACTGAAATGCTCATACTAACAAAAAAAATAGTGATAGTTAAACTGTAACAGATAAATGAAAACGAGCGCTCTCCGCCGAGGCACAGCTCTGTAGACAAAAAGCACAAAAGGTTCTGTTTTCTGCACAAATCTAATTTTGCACCTGTCTGAAGCTCGTTTGATTTGAAGGATGGACCCTTGCAAAGTTTTAAGAAGTGGCACAAACCATAAGACCCCCTTGGTTCCACTGTTTATCACTCCAAATGTGCCCTGAATTACTCGTAGCTATATTTTAAATCGAGTCATTTTTTAGCATCAAAGCAGACATTTCTCTGCCGTCTGTCAGACGTGCTGTTAGACATTGTGACGGTTGTTCCTAAAGAGAAAAGAATTTCCCTCCGTCGCTTTGTGATAACTTCCTTCCAGGGGCGGCAGACTTGACCTGCGCACTCCTCCTCGAATCACCTCTATTATTTGTTAGTGACAGCGGCCCTTTGGAGGGCGGGGGCCTCCCTGAAAGGTACAGGGTCGTGGATGTCCCAATCCATCTCTGTCTGCCAAGCGATTGATTGTGATTTAGTGCACGGGGCAGGAGATGGTGGGGTTCCATTCTGATGAGCGATAGGTGGGAACCCTTTGACTCCCAGCACATGGCAAGCAGAGGCAGCGCTATGATGAGGGGTCAGAGGCAGCTGGTGGGGGTAACCGGGGTGGATCTGGGGGCTGGATGGAGGCAACGTGGGGGTTGCGTGGATCACAAGATAGAAAGTGTCAGAGATCCAGGACAAAGCCCTCCGACCGACCGCCTGAGTCTATCACTTAGCCCATCTATCACCCGTCCGGCTTTGTGGTTGGCGTAACGGTTGCTAGCTAATTGTTTCATCATCAGGGGGATCCGTCATCAGCGGAGGTGACAGTGAATGTAGAGCAGCAGGGAGGCCGCACCGCAAAGTATAAGGCCACATATGAGGGGGCTTTATGCCAGCTGGGTGAAATAAGAGGGTATTTCTGTTTCTGGATTCCTGACTGGAAGATGAAAGTTATTAGCATTCCAATTCTAGCTTTGCATTAAAGGTTTACCTCCAGGGTGTACAAGCCACACGATGTCTGTTTGAACATCACTTAACGGAGCTGACTAGATACTTCAGAATGATCAGCTTCTTCAGGTTTTTAATTCTGAGTGAAGATATTCCCAGTATTCTGCTCTCAGAAGCTCAGAGGACATATCCGTCCTGATTAGGAGACTAAAATTTGTCTAGTGTGAAGAGGATATGCTTGACAACATGTCAGACGCTCTAATTTCCCAGTTCTCTTCCAAATACCAGCAGACCCCAGACAGATATGCATAATGCACAATATCTGACTGGAAATCAGAGAGAAGTGGCTGTTTCGATTTTGTTTTTAAATCTCAATACTCCGGAGCAAAGTTCAGAGAGAGTGCTCATCCCATTCTTGACTGAGCTTCGTCTCGCAGTTCCGGCCTGGTGTTAGATGCAAGCTGTCCTTGGGAGGATGTTAAGCCCAGCCACAGCCTCGCTTCACTGGGCCGCTCTGGCAGCTTAACCCCATAATCAACCTGAGGCCAGCCTTGTTAGGAAATACACTGTGTTGTGCTGCATTTTTATATAATGGGGGTTATCTGCTGTTTACTTTATGTGATCTATCCAGCCATCCATTAGCTATACTCGCTTATCCTTTTAGAAGGTCGTGGGTGGGGGGGATGGAGCTCACACAAAGGCCCCGACCAGCCAGCAGGTTCAAACCCAGGACCTTCTTTGTGATCTAAAAGGGTTTTTTTGCACAGATAATTTGCATTGTATCTAAAAGTATTTTAAAATCGCCTGTTTGCTGCCTCAAATGTGTATAGCAACTTTCATTATTCCACACGCTGCCGCAGCGAACAAAGGCCCGTGCTTTGCCAATCACAGGAAGTTGTGTCAGCCAGGTGAATGTGTAGTCAGTAACCTGATCTGCTGTTGACAGAACAGGGACAGGTGCTCCAGCCAAACTAATCCATACATGCATACTAGACACAGGTCATCCATTAAGGCAGATTGATTCAAAGCTTTAAAAGACTGTTCCTCAACAATCCCTGGCCCGGCCTTACCTTTGCTGTTGCCATGATACCAAATTGCAGTAATTCAAGATGGCCTGAATTGGACGGGGAAAGGAATGTTCACTGTTTGCCCAGCTAATGCTGGAAACATTTTGTCACACAGGGGATGAGGGAACATTTCTGGAAATGATGTCTGAACTTCATGAAATGAAAATTAATTGGCTGGGTGGATTGTCATCTGAAGTATCAGGAAGATATTTAAGGCTTGATTTGATCCAAGTTACTCGCTGCGAAAACATTGAGTACACGGGACTCGTGTACTCGGCCGTGGGGGTGGAGGGGATGTGTGTGACGACTGATAGCCTGCATGAACATTTCACATAATAGCATTGTGTAAAAACAGAAAAAACATATAAACCAGAATTCACTTTGATTCAGTGTCATTATTAAACCCACTCCCATAAGGCCCCAAATGCCAAATAAAGGTTTACAGGCAGAGGCCAGACATCTGCTGCGCTCTGATTGGTTGACAAGCCAGCAGTAGTCTCACCTGTTATCCACAGCCCAGTGCATGGTAAACACCCTCAGTCAGACCTGCGGGGGGAAGGAGCCCATCTGGTCAGCAGCATTAACAACCAGCTCTTTAACAATGGCTTCCAGGGAAAGGAGAAGGGCACAACAGGCCATATCAGCCAATAAAAACAGGCTATGCATGACATTTAGCGCCTGATGCGGGGCTTAGCTGTATACAGGTTACCTACTGTCCGCACCAGCCCCTGGCAATAAAACAAAAGGCAATCTCACAGAGCGAGGGAGGGGGGGGGGATGCTGTGCATAAAGCTGCCTGTTTCAGCTGTTGATCTCATAATTTCCGTGTAAAGATGCAGACAGGGTGCAAAGTTAAAAAGCAAGCAGGGAATCATTTTCAGGGAGCGTTCACATAAAGCTCAAGTTGATTAACAGGCAAAATCTTTAGTTATGCAACACTACAATTTAGTATTTTTTACAGCCAACCCAATGGGATCATGTCACTGTATCCATGAAGGACAGACGATTATAGCTTCTTTTTTTTTTTTTTTTTTGGAAGAATGCCTTGTTTGGAAGGATGTAAAACCAGGAAAACATGAGACAGATGAGAGCCATGTTAGAACATGTCAAACTACAAACTCAATGAAGAGGTTGTTTGACTAAACAGTGCCATCTTGTGTTCTGTTGTTAAAGTTAGAAAATCTGACAAATATCAGACAGGAAAACCTAAATTGTTGAAATTTTCATCACAATACTAACTTTGTATATTTGCTTTATGATATCAGATTATGAATTATCTCCTTATTGTCGCTGTTTTCCTGACTTTGCTCCCTGTTCGGCCCTCTGCAGCATCCATCTGCTGCAGAACAGTGCACATCACACACACCCTCATCTACGCCAAATGGGCTCTAACAGGTTAGGGAGGAAGGGGGCAACTCTGGTTTATTAGATATTTGATGGGCTCTATTTTTATAACTAGCATGCAAAGGATGGAGACAAAGTCTTCTAAATGAGATCTGGGGAATACAAAGAGGGATGTGAAGACAGAAAGGTTCGGGGTGGAGTTTGAACAGCAAGCAATGGGTTCTCTACAGCTGCTGGCACTAATGAGGATAATTACCCCAGTAATAACATTAGCCTATCTGAGGGAATGGAGGGGAAGGACAAGTGGTTGTGTTTGTGTGTGTGGGTGGGTATGCAAGTGTGCACGTGGCTGCTGTGTGTGTGTGTGTGTGTGTGCGTGCCTGGCCGTGCACGTGCCTTTTCCTTCTATCTCGCTTGCGGTCTCTCCCTCATTCCCTGAATCTCAATATCTCTTTGTTAGCCCACAATAATTGTATTTGGGCCTCATATCCGCCATATCAGATTCGAGTTTGTACAAGGTAATTAGCAGAGGAAGGGAAGCCTCCACACCAGGAGGACAAATGCCCCCATGACATCATTCTGGCTCCACTCAGGAGGGGAAGCTTTTTTTTTTTTTTTTCCTTTCTCTCGCTCTTACTCATCTTTCTTGTCATTCAGCTGTCAAAAAGAAAAAAAAAGGCAATGAATAGAAGCAAAAATGTAGTAGCAAGCAAAAGTTGATGACATTGAAAAGGAGGAGAGCTGGGATTAAGAAGATAAAGAAATGAAGAGAAGAAGGAGAGATAAAGAGGTGGAAAGTGATTTGAGATGAGATGGAGGCCAGTGTGTTTTTTTTTTTCCCTTTCTGCAGCCGGCCTGTAATCTCCAATCAGCTTTTACTAACAGACAGCGGGGGAAAGTTCCTCGGCGTTAATGCAGCTTGCCATTCAGAAGGAGCCGGCGAATCCAGCTGGGAGTCGGGGGATGAGGGGAGGATTAACTGGCACTCAGGTGGAGAGAGATGAAGAGAATCAGACGGAGACCTCGCGGATGGTCACACCCTCTCTCGCCCCATCCATCACTCTCTCTTTTTCTTTTTTTTTTTTCCCCCTCAGTGAACAAATGCACTGCGCTCTGTGTTTTTGTGGGTGGAGTGGTGAAAGCAGGAGGAAATGATAGAGTGTAGGGGTGACTTCTCTCTGACATGTCACAAATTTACTTTTCACTTGTGATGAAAACTGATGCCACATTTTTTTTCTGACACTTTTTTTTTTTTTTTACAGATTTAAATTTAAGTGTGTCGGTTAATTCTAATCATGTAAATTTAAACAAACAACATCAACTCTACTTTGTTATTTAGAAGTGATTTATTCTTATGCTCTGACAGTAAAAAATATAAGCAAAGGTAATGCTAAATTGCTTATTCATGTCAGAAACTAAGCTGAAAATCATCATGCCTTTTCATTCGAATACTATTAACTAATCCAATGTGTTAGTTTTTTTTCCTGAGGCCTCCTCGTCGACTGCTTCTATAAACAGATTTAACTGAACGGCAGGTAATCTCCAGACGCCAGCTGTGCATCTCCACTGCCTTCCTCTAAACGATCAAAGTGTTCCTCTTTCTCCTCCAAATGGCCTCTCGTCACCTTCACCCCTGCAGAGCAGAGGGAGAAAAATACTCGAGCACAAATACGTGTGGTGTCTTTTGAAATGACTGGTTTTTCATTCAACTGAGCCCAAAAAAGCAAAATTCACCCTTTGGCCTCGGTGTTGATATTCACCTCGTCTTGATACCGTGAGCTGTGCTGAAGCAGACGTTTTTCCCAGAGTGTTGTGGGAGATGCAGGAGTAGACCCCCGTGTCAGAGACGAGGAGACCTTCTATCTGGAGCCAGGTGGAGACGGTGTAGGGCTGGGGCCCGCCTCGAAGCTGGGAAGAGGTGAAATCTACATAGATTATATCAATCTAATCAACTGTAAGAAAAATATGCACTAGACTGCTGTCATTTGGAAGCAATTAGAGATATAAAGAAGTGCTCTATTGTGGGCATTGGCACTAATATTGGCTAATTTTT